ATTGTGTGTCAACAGTACTAGATAGTTGGTTGTCCTCGTTAATGCATTTAAATGTTTGGTCTAAAAATAGATCTAATCTTCTAGATAGAGAAGATTTCCAGGAGGCATCTGAAAGCAGCAGTTATAATCAGGTATGGCAGTGGATGGGATGTCTTGGTAGACCCTGTGCCTATTTTTACCTCTTAAATTTACTCTAAAAATTGATGTGTTAAAGTGGCAAAGTTAAGGAATTGCCTTGTGAAAGGCGCATCTTTACAAGTCGTTCTTGTAATTTGTTTATTCATTTATGCATTTCTCTCTTTAAAAAATGACTGTCAATGAATGTCAAACATATCAGAAGCGTTGACTGGTTCAATTCCTTTATGACCACATCTTCTGATCACTACTACCTGCAGGGTAACGCACCACCTCCAAAGCTCCAATTATCTTAAACTGTATTATTGAGTATGACAATGATTCTGTTGCACTCAACTATTTTCCAGGTTCAAAACAACTTTGTTCAGAGCTGAAAACTCACATGCTTAATGACGGCCAATGAACCTGCTGCAACTGTGGGTTATCATTACTTTAGTCTGGACTGAAAAATTTCTGAGGAATGTTTTACACAGCTTGATGTTTCTATGCTATGAAAACTGATTTAAGTCTTGAAGGACAAAGAAGGGGTCAAACCTCCTACTAGAATGTAACGTATGAAGTAGCTTTAACGAGTTCTGACAGTTGTCTTAGCTAGATTTCTGTGGAAACTTCCCAAACAAGCTGTCCAGGTGGAACCATTAAAAGACTGGACCACCTTAGCTGACTCCTTTGGACGCGTAGGAGCAGAGGTTCTTAGCTGAGCTTCCCTCTGAATCACAGAGCTCTTAAGTTTATCTGTTAGGACAGAGCATCCCTATGAAGGAAGATCTTCTCATGTGTGGTTGAATTCTTGTTCTTGGAGTCATTGTTTATATCTTAACACTACAGACAAGATGGGGAGGTAGATGGACAGATGAAGCTCTAATCCATCAGTAAATCAACTCTATACAGACTCATTTCCAATCTAGATGAAGCATTACGCCATTTCTGACTTGGTAGACCTGAGGCTTTTGGAGTAAAAGTTAAATTTTAAACTAATTATCATTTCAGGTGATCAGATTTGGATTATTATAATTACATAAAAAGTGCTAAGTCAGATAATCAGATTTTCGGTGACAAAGCATACTTTCTGGTGTTTGTCTGAATGAAGTTGCAAGGCTTGTTGACTTGTCTCTTTAGTCAGATTATGATCTGCCCTAAACAAGTTCAGGCTTCAGCTCTGATCTGAGATCAGCTTTTACCTGCCTGTCTGAGCTGTATCACTTACGCTGTACAAACTTGTCACACACAAACTGGCTTTGGACCAACTGCGTCAACTGTGTGCACAACCGCCAGCCGATGAGCGATCTCTTTATTGTCTTGGTCAGGGTGAGATTACAGTACCACATTTTTGCCATAACTGTGGCAAAGTGCAGCACGAATACCTGCAACGCCCAATTCACAATTCAGCTGCTGCAAGAGGCTCACGGTTAAATTGTTGTATTTATTCATACAGCACATTGTTTTTAAAAACAACAACAGTAACAACAAGGTACAAAGAAGTGATTGAGCCTGTTTGGATGCATAAGTGTGGGTGAAACATGCATTATAATCTCAGTTTCTCCAATAGTTCTTATGTAAAAAGTCCATAGTTTTCCTTTCTTTAGCGTCAAATTGTCTAGCCAGGCAAAGAAAACATACAAGGTCCTAAAAGAGACTTTGACCATCCTAATCAATAATTAGAACTTGTAAAGAAATGCAAAAAGCCTTAAAATACATTATTCTTGTGTTATTGGAGAAAGTAAAACACAATCATTTTGTGGGGACTTTAAAGAATAATAGGATTTTTTTTTTTTAAATGAAACATTTTTTGACATTTTTTACATCACATAAATCAAAGTGTCTGGAGACTTTTAATGAGCAGCCAACGACTTCCTGATCCCTCAGGGTATTCTGCTTGTCAAAGCAGCCCATTTCTCTCTTCGCTGCTCTTTATTTGAGGAAGACACAGGAATATGCAAATAAATCAGGCTGTTTTTGTTTTCAAAAATATGCAAGTAGGTACAGGAAAACAGCCAACATCAGAGCAATACAAAAGTTTATAACAACTAAAAAGGTGATAAATAAGGCTGGCCAACCAACAATTTATCTTATCACCCTGAACACTGAGCACAATATTAAATAAGCTGCAAATAACAATTCTGAAGCTTGTTAAAACCAGAAGATGGTAACAAGCTATCAACTAGTTTGCATCTCTGTACCAGCATCACAAATGTAAACACAGGAAGTTCTCCAATCTCAACTGGGTGTTTAATCAGAACTGTAAAGTAAGATAAAGTTTAAAAGCAAAAAAAAAAAAAAGAAAAAACGAGGATGTCAGTGTAAAAAAAAAAGGGCAATATGTAGAAAGCACCTCAGAACACAGTGAAGTACAGCAGAGAGTCTGTGATGCTGTGGGCCTTTTTTTCCTCAAACCTCTTAAAAGCCTTAATACAGTTCATGAACAATTTTTATTTAGAAAAAAACTGGTGAAACTATCATGGAATCTGAAATAGAAAGGTGTCACAATTCGATCTGAAGTAGGATTACACTGCAAAAAAATAAAATCTAAGTAAGTCATTTTTTCTTAAAATAAGTCAATTTTTTCTTGAATTAAGGATTGAAGTGAGACACTTTGCCAATGGAACAAGACAATTTACACATTAAGCAAGAAAAAAAAAATCCATATTCCTTATTTTAAGTATATAATATCTAGATACCTCATTTAAAGAGTAAATATACTCATTCCATTGGCAAATCATCTTATTTACCTGCTCAAATTAAGGGTAAATACACTTAATTTAAGACATTTGTATTCATTTTGAGATCATTTTTGCAGTGTAAGATCTATAGGGTACAAGAAAACCCATTTAGAAATTATTTACTGGTTAAAAAAGAAAAAAAACTTTTTATAGTACATATCAATTTCCAGATAGAGAATAACGTTACAATTTATAAAGATTGTGCAAAGATCCCTCTTACTGTATGTGGAGAATAAATTAGCACAATCCAAGTGGTTAAAAAAATTTAAACTTCCTTTTCGGTAGAGGAGGGGTTCAAATGACTTCCATTTAATGGTTGATTTTTTTTTTCAGCAAGGCCTTTGGCTCTACCATAAATTAGGTATTAATTAAAATATTTTTCTTATGTACATCTCTAAGGGTGGTCGGCTGTGATGACTTGGCATTACCAGCAAAAACAAAGAATGTTTTTATATTTATCTTGGTGCAAACCACTTTTACTTCACTTCTAGACTTTGCAAAATGTAACCCAACAAACGCTTTTATTATAAGAATCCTGGAAATAAGCTCAATGTGTGTCAAGGTTCAACATAATAAGTTCTTCAGTTGTATCAGCAGTAGCTTCTTTCCACAAAGTGTCAAGAGTACATTATCTTTGTCACACTTGGGTAACCAGAGGTTCATTGAGGGAGAACTGTTTCCCTTGCTGATCCCTTGCTTCCTGTTCTGTGCATAACCCAGTCAGAAGGTTCCCGTTGAGTGGCGGGCAAGTAGCCCTGTTCTGTTCAAACGGCGATGCATAGTCCCCAACGAACTCAGCATCATGATCCATTCCATCCTCTTCATCGTTCTGCTCATCATCCTCTTTGTCATTTTCCCAGAGTGACGTGGAGACATGGTGGTATTCCCTGCTGTCCTCACATTCCATCCCTCGGTGGTAGAAGTAGCTAAAGTTTGACACGATGACAGGGACCGGCAGAGAGATGGTGAGCACACCTGCGATGGCGCACATGGAGCCCACCAGCTTTCCTCCAAAGGTCTCCGGGCACATGTCCCCATAGCCGACGGTGGTCATAGACACCACAGCCCACCAGAACGACTCAGGTATGCTTGTAAAAAGCGTGCCCGGCCTGTCCACCTCTGCAAAGTAGACAGCGCTAGAAAAAAGTATGACCCCTATGAAGAGGAAGAAGATCAGGAGGGCCAGCTCTCGCAGGCTGGCCTTCAACGTCTGGCCGAGGATCTGAAGGCCTTTGGAGTGACGAGACAGCTTGAAGATCCTGAAAACTCTTACCAGCCTGATGACTCTGATGAGGGCCAGAGAGACAGATGGTGGCGTGCCTTTGTCCTTAGCCAGCTCTGTGCCCACTGTGACAAAAAAGGGCATAATGGCCAAGAAATCGATGATGTTCATGATGTCCTTGAAGAAGTGTATCTTGCAAGGAGCGCTGATGAAGCGCATGATGAGTTCAAAGGAGAACCAGCAGATGCAGATGGTCTCTACTATGAAGAAGGGGTCTTGGAAGGGGGAGAACTTTGGTGGAACCAGGATGGTTGTGTTGGGGATAGTTGGATGAGGCGTTGTTGTGTATTGCTGAAAGAGAAAATGAGATACTGGTTACACAACGAGAAGAGGTTTATTTATTGAACAGGACAGTTGCTACTATGATTTCTGTGAAAATGAAATATGTCAACAAAACATTCTGAGCTGTCATTGAATGTTCTATAATGGATGATATTGTGATTTTCCTGTCTTCTTTTACTTGCTGCTTTTGCAAAATGAAACAGAATTAAATGGTGCGTACACACCAAATGCATTTTCTGGTGTCCAAATGTTTGATTTACATGCAAAGTCTATGGGGGACGGCATTGAGAGGTCAAGCAGCACAGCCTAGCATTGGAAGCAGTGCATTGGACGTTCTGGCATCCCAGCACCAGAACATCCGAGCATCTAAGCGTTTGAAGCTGCAGTTCAGAAAATTTGACTTTTGCCACTGGAAACCGGAGCAACCAATCAGAAAACCCGATCCAGGAGGTTTTTTTGGGGAGACAGACATTACATGCAGTTGTTATCACTTCTGCAGAGATGTCTGCATATGAAAAAGAAATAAATATTTTCCAAACGTTTAAAAAAAAAAGGAAAAGATAGCATCTCTGATTATTATTGCTGCACTAAAAAATTATTTTAGCAAAACAGATTATAAATACCCAAATTAACTAATAATGTTAAAACCTGCCAACGAAAAATATTTGATTGATTATTCTGTTACTTGTAGTTTTTACCCCAAACCTTAAAAATGATTTACTTCCAGGCGCTACAAACGGCAGCAGGAAATCCCCCACAGGCTGGCCGCAGCAGAGGGCATTTCACCGGGGATTTCAAGCGCTGCCACCTACCGGTATGCTGGAGGTCTGTCGCTCCAAATAAAAACTGTATATTGTAGTGGGATCATAATCCTGATAAACTGACTGCACAAATTATGTTTTGAGATGTAGGCTTCCTTCTCGCTAAAAAACATCTAAAACAAATTTTCCAACTTATCAAATTAAATAAAATCAAACTGATCTCTAGCTTGTAGCTACAGAACAGAGCAGATAAACATCCACAGAGTCAAACTTGACCGCCGTTTGACCAAGTGTCCAAAAGTCGTGTTTTAGCATTTTTGACGCCCAAAACGCGTTCGGCGTGAACACACCATTAGAGGCCAAATAGAGTTTGAAAAAATTTATTTGTGTGCTCATTATCTGTTTTTGCGTTTTTTAAATTAGTAAGGAAATGTTAAATTAATTAAGAAAATGTTACTCCATTTTTCTATGTAATATTATTAAATTAAATTTCAAAAGAATGTTTTTTCTCTTTTTTTTCATCATTGGTTACATTTTTAGAAATAAATGAAAAATTGATACACAAATTTTTCCAGCAAATATTGTTTCCTCTGCCAAAGGAATATAGACCTTGAATGTCGTTAAGGTTTTTTTAGTTTAGGAAACTTTGGCCTTTTTTGTTCCTTTTAGTCAGGAGTGTTACTTACCTTGGGTCTTTCATCAGGACGCCATTTTGAGTGGGTATACCGACTTTAGTTCTCTGTCTCTGTCTTTACTACTACCACTACTTACTCACTACTGCTAAGCTGTGTCTGATATTGTTAAATGATATTTTTTTTTCACTTTTAATGACCTGAAACATGTTAGTGTGACAAAAAAAAAGCAAAAACTGACTAAATGTGTAAGGGCGCAAATACTTCAAAGGACTGCCTATATTTATAATTTTCACAAGGTGATATACAGAGAAATAAAATCTGTTATAAATTCTCTTATAAAGATATATATACATATATATATATATATATATTATCATTATCATTTCAAACGTAAAAACTATGGGAGCTAATACATTATCTAAATCTAAAATAAGGCTTTTAGTTGCCTTAATTCAACAGGTCAGCGGTTGTGAAATGGGTTTTCTGTTATGTGTAGATACAAAAGATAATCCACTGAGTTTTGTTCCTTTTCTAATGTTTGAACAAATCAAAGTTCCATTTCTGACAAATTGCAGGATCTTCCTAAAGGTTTGACAACTCTGGATTAATACACTTTAAAAGATTAAAAGAAAGCCTGGACCCTCGGGCATAAAGTTTGAAAAAGGCTTCAGAGCAAAACTGTATCTCCATGGAGATGATAATTACAGGAGAGAAAACAGACTCAAAGTAGCTATCATATCCTGGGTGAGGATATAATGATCTCTATGATACTGTGATAACTTTTTCACCCCTCTCCTTTTTCACTTTCCCAGCTTTAATTTTTTTCCTACCGACTTTTATATAAATCACCTTCTCTATTTTTATACGCACAAATAAACCTAAAGTTCATGTGACTCGGGTTCGGATTACAGGCATCTGGCGCTTCATTTAACGCAGACATTTCGTTTTTATCTGGGCAGGAGATACTCGTCTGACTTAACCAGGCATTAGTGTCTTTTAACAAGTTAGATAAAGTTACACTAAGTGTTTGATGGCTCTGCGCTGAATTTTGTCCTAAAGACGGGCAGATACAGTTGACACCATGTTGTTGAATCAACTTACAGACTGTGGTTTGTGGCATTTTCACAGTTTGTTGCATCACTAAGATTGATGTTTTCATAATTTAGATTGGTTGGATGGATGAATAAAATAACAGGATGAATGATATTCCAAAATCAACACGCAGCTGAACAAACATCCTTTCTTTCAACTCACACTGGACCTTATAACCTCCTCAAAAGAAGGATTTATTGCAGGACTGGTGTATTACATTAAATTAGTTTCAGCTGGATTGACCTAATAAACTGGAAACCAAACTCTTGCCTTTAATGTTTCTGCCTGTCTATACTTTTTTCTGTCTTCTTTTCTGTTGTTTTATCAAAATTCTTTGTTTTTTTGACAAAGAAATGTTAGTTTAAGACACATAAAACTAATTGTAGTTTGATTACAGTGGGTCATTTCACTTTGCTCTGTCGCTTTTTTTTTTAGACGTTTGCCTTTTATATTTGAACTTGAATAGCTCTGATGCTCCAGTGCTCATCTGGTCCATTTACTGTTTTGGTCGACCATTCAAGAAAAGACTTAATCACCTTTGAAGAAGTTTACATCTGGCAAACTACTGATTAGGTTGGAGCGACTGCACAGGTCTGAATAGTGTCTAAAACCCAGGTATGATGAATTTTCTCATGCACAGTACTCTGAAAAATAATTCAACCCATGGCTGTGTTTTTGTGTACCTTAATCATTAGCAACCCTAACCCTTTAATTTTACGCATGAAAAAAAAAATCTTAAGAGAAAAATCCGAAAATGGCATCCAAGTCTTCAAATAGAGGGTAAGATGGGAGAAACCAATGAAAGTTTAACTGTAACCTTTTTGGGCTTTCTTTGGTGCAATCCTTTGGAGTAATCTTAATAACACTATGTTTTCCAAATGTTTTCTTTAAAATGGCCCCTTTTCTTATGTATTAGTGCATTCTTTTCTGTTAGCTAAACCAGATACCTCTATGGCATCATAGCAGACCAAAGAGGAGCAAATCCTTCTAAGTGAATAATTCATTCAGCTGGATTTCCTGATTTAGAAAACTTGTCCAGTGTGACTTAATTAATTGATTTGACTGTCCCTGTGAAGTGTTTTGCGATGACATGTGTTGTGAATTGGCACTATATAAAAAAATTCAATTGAATAAACAGCTGCTCTTTAGCCTTCAAAAGTATATTAACATTAAATTTTGTTAGGGTTTATTTGAGAAGAGCCAGACGTTCTTCTGTTCAAATGGTTTTGATCAATTGTTCCTATAGAATTCTAAAAGTTTTATTTGGTTGTCTGCTTTTTTCTCAGATTTTCTTCCCAGTTCTTCTAGCTTTATTTGTTATATAAATCAATTAATTATTGGGGTTTTTTTTTAATACATTGCTTCTGAGCTACAAAGCCACATATCCTGTAATCTTGTAATCTGAATGATTTTTCTAAATAGCTGCTGCTATGTCCCTCACTCGACAAAAAGCCAGATTTAGAGCAAACAAATGCTTTCAAATTCAAGTGATGTTAGCAAACCAGAACAATCCATCCACCCATCTATCCATCCTTCCATCTATCCAATTATCCATTCATTCATTTATCCATCCATTCATCCAACCATCCATCCATTGACCCATCCATCCATTCACCCATACATCCATCCTTCTATCCAATTATCCATTCATTCAACTATCCATCCATCCATCCATCCATTCATCAAACCATTCATCCGTCAATTCATTCACCCATCAATCTATCCACCCATCCATCCATTCATCCATCCAACCATTCTTCCATTCATCCAATTATCCCGTTCTGTCTTTTCATAATTGGGTCATTGGAGCAACAGGTCCTTGGGGGGGGACCAAGTGACTCTCCAACTAATTCTGGGGAATACCAAGGCATCCCTAGCCCAGAAGGGACATATAGTCCCTTCTGGGCTTAATCCGTGGCTGCATCGTCTCCTTTTCATGGAGAATATCATGAAAATCTCCATAGGGAGCCACAGCAGGAAATTAGAGGAAATTTCTTCTATTATAGATTTTTCATCAATTTGCAAATTTGGCAGGAATAGTGTCCTATATATCTCTTTAAGGAAATGTCGAACGGGATTTTGCAATCATTGTGAATAACTGGGTGGCAGCAACCAATTGGCTAAAAAAGAAAAAAAGATGCTAATGTGCTGTCTTTGGATAAACCAGAAAGTTGTGGATGATATGATTAGCTAAGCCCCCACATCCCAAAGTAAACCTTCGAAGATATTCAGAAAGCCTGGAGAACTTATGCTGGGGACATTTTTTAAAGGTTACAAGAAAGTGTGGTCGTGTGAAGCAAAAGAAACTTATGTTAAGTTGTTTCTTTGCCATCTTTACTCACAATTTGATTACATCAAGGTGTTTCAAATGCCTTTTTGTGCTTCAGTGGTTCTTAGATAAAAGCTTTTTTCAGTTTAAGCATAAGAGGCATATAGAGGATCAAAGCTGGTTTCCAATTAGTAAAAAAGCAGCTAAAAACCAAGAAAATCTTTAGAAATCCACTCGAACAATAACCAAGACCTATTAAGATTTTTTTTTTTTTTTTTTTTTATCCAGATCCTCCAAATGAAAGGTCATCTGTTGAATGTCCAGTAGAAATAATTTAGATGTTAATTAACTGGGTTAATTAACAAAAATTACATTTGCATTGTCAAGTTATCGTTTACAAACTGGCCTCAAAATAAGTACGATAAAAAACAAAGTCTGAAGAAAAACGACCGCTAAGAAGCCTTTATAAACACTGATTGAACATTTAATGATATTCTCTGGACAGAAGTGAAGCTATAATAATTTTCTGTCATATGAATGGTTTGAAGGCTTTCGTAACGTGTTTTAGGGCCATCTTTATGCCTAAAAGGTTTATAAGTCAAAGTTAAGTGGCTTTTTGTTAACAAACTGTCAAGATGTGGGAAGAAGATGGATAAGAAAGGTGCCCAAACTTAAGAAAACAATAAAAACTTCTGATCAAGACTTCCTAAACAGAATACAAGTCTTATCAGATTATTTGTGCCATGTTGCAGTGGCACGGGATCTGTTTTTCTGGCTTCCATGAGCACGTTTGGTTCTAATTTCATGCAGAGGAGAAAAGCTGATCTGCCGCCATCTTTTCCATGCCGTTCTCAGAGCCTCTGAGTCACACCGTTTATTAATACAGACATCAGTTTATGTGTCGATGCTCTCTAACGGCCGTCCAGGCTATATTTAACCGTCTAGGTCTCCTAGCAGTAACTTTAGACCAGCTCTTGCATTCACCGTCTCCTCTCTACTTCTAAGGTCTCTCATTCGTTCTAACTTCTCGCCTGTTTTGAAGAATCACCTGAATGACTCTGGCAGGTGTCTGTTAGTGCTCAAAGGAAGCAAAGCATCTTCACACATTTGCTTTCTTCATTCCTTTGACTCAGACTGAGGGGATCGGGTTTTGAGACATCAGTCTCACTGATGCTTTACTTGATTTTCTATCCAACTTCACTCTGAACTTTTAGACCATATCATGAAAAAGTTACACTTTTAATTCTCTGCTACTCTTCCCATTGCTTAAGGTAAACTTCACTCCTCACCTCTCTTCGTTCCTTCTCATTTCTGAACTCTGGCAGAGTCTCTAGGCAGAAGATGAGGATGGAGAGGACGATGACCATGACGCTGATGATGGCGATGATCCGGGCTCCACCAGAGGACTCGGGATATTCAAACAACATCCAGATTTTCTGTTGCCACTTTGTGGCCGGCAAGGGTCTCTCCTCCTCTTTTGGAAAGCCCTCATCCGCCTTGAAGCGGTCAATGATCTCCTCTCCGAGCTCGTAGAAGTGCAGCTCCTCCAGGAACATGTCCAAAGGGATGTTGGCGGGTCTCCTCAGCCTTCCGCCCGACTGGTAGAAGTAGAGGATTGCGTCAAAACAGTTGCGGTTCCTGTCCAGGAACAACTCATTGCGCAGGGGGTCGTAGTAACGGAGCCGGCGCCGGGGGTCACCCAGCAGAGAGTCAGGGAACTGAGCAAGGGTCCGGAGCTGGGTTTCATAATGCATCCCCGAGACATTTATGGCCAGACGTTCACTCAGCGCCCAGCCGCTCCTGCAGAGACGACGGCTCTCCCTCCTGGCCTCACTCTTCACCTCCTTCTCACTGCTCTCCTTCTCCAACTTGTTGTACTTGTCTTTGCTCTGCTTTTGTTCATCACTGATCTCCTCGGCTTTTTGTTTCCCCTCTGCATCGCCTCCTTCTCCTGGTCCGTCTGTGCCTTGATTATCCATTTCTCGAGGTCTGATGTCTCTCAAACTGGCTGATTGTGTTGTATCTATCTACTGGAGGAAAGAAAATCAAGGTTGAACACAGAGCAATGATATAAAAGTACATAAAGTCATGAGTCAATGCAGGTAAAATGTTTCGTAAATCCTTCAACATAAAACAGCTTCCATTTATCACTTTTATCACAACAAGATTTATCCGATATAGAGACCCCAAGTACATCATCACAGCAGTTCTTTGAGTCTAACCTGAAACTTAGTCTGATTGAAAGTTGACTCTGCTGCAGGGTTACATTGGATTTTGTTAAAGTGTACCTTAGATTTTATATGAGTGTCTGCAGAATATAAAGGATAAACATGCATCTTCCTCAATCTCTTTCTTTCACATTTATTAAACATTTTATGCATCTCATGATTGGACCGCTCTCCTCCTCCTTACCTGTTTTCGCTAACTACTCACACCTCCACATCTCTCTCCTGCTGTACCTCCAACACCAGATGTCTGCAGTGCTGACCCTCTGTATTGATTCCCTCATCCCGATATCCAGGAAGGTCCTCCCGATCTTCTGTCCTTTGATAAACTGTAAGGAGGAGGAGGCAGACGGAGCGCCGTGGCTCCTTCAGGAGCCGCTGTGGTGTTAATCTGTTGTAGTTCAGCTTGTTTGTGGGTCACTGCACTTGCACCCTCTCTGTTACGCGCCGCCCAAGGGAATGCTGCCGGGTTGAAATTTAATCTTTGACCCGGATCCAAGACTGCCGCTGCACCCCTCCATACTCGACGCCACCTTTGCTGTATGAAAATGTCAACCTCTTAAACCTGCTAAACATACTGTACATATTGAATACATGAATAGTGTACATACCTGCATGAATAATAGTAATAATAATGACAATAAAGAAAGCTTAATATCATCTTTCACTGCAATTGTTATTAGTGCCGAGCGATTTTTTTCATAAAATATGAAGGTTAAAATTAACAATTCAAATTAAAAATTACATTTTATATTTAAATAAATTTCTTGAAAAGAACTATTTTAAAATTTCCTTAACTTAGATTATTCGTTTAAATTTTCAATTTATATATTTTTTTGCTTTGCTTTTTTTAAACACTACAACAAACATTGGGTTTGCTGGATATTAATGTGTTTTTTTGGTACGTTTATCTGTTTTATGAATTGATTTAAATAAAAAAAAACTGTACTTCTATCTGTAGTTGTTTTTATTTACTTTAATCTCTTTATTTTTTATATTTCGTGTTCATTCTTTTCTTTTAAAGTTTTTCTATAATTAATCCGTATTCCCTTTACTGGTACAGCAATGCAAATTTCCCTTCTGAAGGAGAAATAATCTAATAATCCAGATCTATTTGTACCATGATGAGCCTGGAAACATGGGATTTATTTGTACTGAAGGATAATGTTGCCTGCAAGCGGAATTTTTGTGGTATCTGTACCTTAACAAACACCAGGAATCATGACTAAACTGTGAACAGAGCAGATTGACTATGTTGTCATTCTGCAGGGCCGGCCCAAGCCTGCATGGGGCCCTAAGCAGGATTTTATTTCAGTCAGTAGTAATGATTCATGCACTTAGTTTGATGATCAGATTATTAACACTCCTCATTCCAGTGGCGATAGTGCTGTGATGTGGATTTCATTAGTAATCATTGAGCAAACTACTTTTTTTACCTTGATTTTCAGGAAGGATGGGGTGTGGCTACTCTCTGTATAGGTGTTTAAGCACCAGAAAGCTGAGCAAAGTTAGGTTGCCTTCAGTTTAAGCCTCTTTTGAGGTTGCCATGACACTGGTGTCTAAGGATTTATGCAGGCACATTCATTAGTCATTGTATTATTTCACACTCTTCCTGTGAGAAATAAATACAAAAAAAATTGAATATGTTCTGGTTTTATTTTGAAAGAATAATGCCCAAACAGATTGCTCTGGTCCCAATAGAACAAAGAAGCTTTTTTTTTTTCTTTTTCTAACATTCCTGTAAATTTCAGATGGTTGTTTTTTCAGCAGAGACAGTAATCCCAGCAGCTGAAGGTAAAAGCATTATGGTAACCATAACCATCATTTAAAAATGGTAAAGATACCTTTTATCAATGATTAACACATTGCTTATTAATGCTTGTGTAACCGGATGGTTGGAGTTGTAGCACAGGCACTACAGAACCAGAACGACCATTTATTTATTTTCTAAAAAAGCTGATTCGGCACGTGGACGCAACAGGACGCAGGACGCAACATGAGATTCGTGTTTTTCTAAATTAATATGATCTTGTCTTATCTTGTGTGTTACTAACGTGGTTGGCAGTGTGTTTCTAGAGTCTCAGATTGCTTCTTGTTTTGTCACAGGTTCCTGTGCCTTATTGGATTTTAAAGTAGAATAATAAAGTTTGTCTTCTAATTGTAAAATAATGCATAAATAAAATATATAATTTGTATACTAATTCTGCTTCCTCATTTTAAGCCAGACCTACCTATGTACATTTAATTGGGAGACCCTAGGCCACTTGATGTTATTTTTAGCAGTCTACTAGTTGGTTTAGGGCCAGGTCCTCGGTCACAATCTGGGTAATTCCCCCGTGTTACACTTGATTACCATGTATAAACTGAATCTAAAACAATTATGAAAGATAAATCGATCATATTGCCCTGCTATGTTAGTTTATCCCTAACCCTAACACCAGTTAGTTTTTGCCTTACCTTAATCTGACTCATTCATATTGCCCTGCTGTGTTGGACTTACCCAAACCTAACATTAGTGGAGTTAATACCTTCATGTATTATTTATTTACCTTTATAAATGGTTTGGATACAGTTTAGAAATTAATCAAATTTTAATCATCTGTGAATTAATAATAAATGGTGTCCGTACCTTTGATAAATTATGGTTTTGTTAGATATTGTAATGTGTAACCAAATTACTTTCCTTGGATTATTTTTTTCAGTTTGGTCAGTATCCTGGGATGACATGAACCCATTTTTTTGTTGACAAAAACAAAAATTTTTCCACCAATACAAATAAACTATTTAACAGTAAATCAAAAAAATTTTTTTCCTCAAATTCCTAAATAAATAATAAAGTTGTGACCTGATGAATATTGTTATATTAATGTGTGAATAAATGTGGAATTTTGCACATTAAGCAACAAATAATGTACATATAATTACTCAAATAAGTTAGCTAATTATAAAATTGCTAAGCATTATATTTTTGAAAACATATAGACATTTACTTTACTTCATTTGTTTTGGTCGTATAATGAAGTTGGCTGACATTTCCATGGAAGAGATTAGTGATCTACAGTTCAAATGATTTGAAAAAAACATCAGATTTCAGGGTACGTTTTTAATGCACTGATGAGAGATTATGATATTTTAGGGGTTTGCAATTGCTAAGCAGGTATGAAATTCTTAAAAAGATACTTAAATGAGTAATCATTAGTTGTTTAATTAACAAAATGTTGATTATACATTTATTCATTTCATTATTCATTTATATTGTTCAGAATTGATAAAGCTATTTTCTTTAAATACTAGTTTCTTACTTATTTGAAGTATTATTTATATGCATAGAATTTTACCATTTATACATATTTATTTGACTGGTTTATTGGATTGTGGCATCATTTTCCCCCCATAGAGACTGCTACAACACTAACTGCATTATCATGGAAATCTCAGCTGATTCACAATATACAAGAAAAAAAATCAAAATTTTGAATAGCGGTAAATATCTTAATTCAGGCTTCTATACAAATCTATATTAAATAGTTTCCATGTTTATTTTGACCTGTATCTGTCTTATCTTGTGTCTTTTGTCTCATGGTTTACTTTGTGTGAGGATAAATTAAGTTCTGAGGCAGGATTTTTTATTTATTATCTCTAATTTATGTCTATATTTTCTGTATAACATCATTATTCGTATGTAATGATTTTATTTATTTATTTATTTATTTATTTTATTGCTTATAATGCTTTTTCGGGAGTTTTATAACAAGTTGCTAGATTTCCACTAAGAGCAAAACACTTTTTTTTTCTGGGACTTTAAACTTTACAAAACAAACAGTTGGAGACTGTAAAGTAAAAGTGACCCAGACATGCAGTCAGCTTGAAATATTGATTTAATGCTAACGTCGGGGCTTTTGGAGATAAACACGTCGCGCTGCTGACAGAAGAGTACCAAAATGCCTCTGCGCTACCAAAACAAAGTGGTTATTGTCACTGGAGGATCCAAAGGGATTGGTAGAGGGATTGTCAAAGCCTTTGGTATTGTGGACATTTGTATTTCTAGTGGTTGTTATGATTGCAACATGAAGTGGAGCTCTGATTATTTTTGCATCTTTCTTTAGTGGAAAATGGAGCCAATGTGGTGTTTTGTGCAAGAGGAGGTCAGTTCTGCACATTTCCCTCACATTTCTCAATGCAAAACTGCTGAATGCGTCCGACCACAACATTGGTTTTCCTTACTAACAAATAGTTGCTCGCTGAGTGGGAAACTTGGAGCGTTTATGTGTTTCAGTTGCAGCAGGTGAAGCCCAAGAAGCAGAGTTCAACACGCAGGGACCAGGTTCATGCAAGTTTGTGAAGTGTGACATGACCAAGGAAGAGGACATCAAGGTAAAGTAAAATATACTCAGGTGCAAACATTCACAAATACTGCATTTGAGCTGGAGGCTCTTCACTTTGTCTCTTATCTTATGACCTGATGAAAATCAGCTTTTTAAAATAAATTATTGCACAAAATATATTAAAAATAAAAGTAAACTAAACAAAAAGCTGTATCTAAATCGTTTGGAATACCATGAAACTCTGATTTTCTACATAGCAGAACAAGACTGAGGATGTATATAAATCTGTCCCATTTTAAGGGTCTTTGGGGAATCCAGTCTTCCCAGCAGTCATTTGGTGAGAGAAAAAAAATCCAGATTTACCTATGGAAACTTTAGAATTGCCAGTTAACCCAATATGCATGTTTTATGTGGATTTTTAGGTGGATACCAAAGTACCTAACAAGGCAGGCATGTATGAAGGGAGCTAACAAACTTTACATAACAAGCCCAGACCGCAGGATCTAAATACTTTTAGGTACCAGTGCGGACCATGTACCCACTGTGCAACCACATGGAGGCTTTGAAAAGAAGAATAATTACCAGCCACCACTGATTACTAAAACATTTCACAAAAGTTTTAGTTTACAGACATGTTCTGATAATCATCATGTAAAAGCAAAATAACATCAAGAGAGAAATAGTTTTGCAAATTCTAAGTCATCATTGAAACTACAAAACAGACTGAAATCGGACCTTCGATCAGTTTTTCTGAAGATGTTTCAACAACCATCCAGGAGTTTTTGTTATTTCTTTCGGCTCTCACTCGAGCAATGTCCATCCTCCAAAGCACATTTCAAGTCGGATGCAAATCAAAAGCCCACCCGTCGTTCTCCTCAGTTGTTATATAGTCTTGTTGTGTACAGGCTTTGTATTTGACTATTTAAATCAAGATGAGTGTGCTTTTTTAAATTCTTTACAATGAGTTCTAGAACCAAGTTGGAGCTTGTTCCAAACTTTACAGACTTTAAAGAAGTTCGTGGCCTTTGTTATTTGTTGCTTAAACTCATTCCCTAGAAGTTACACAATCACA